GTGCTTTCATGTTAATAATAATTATATCGATACTCTAGGAAGATCTCCAAATAGAAATGATGACAATTCACTCAGCCCTGGCCAGTCAAGCAATTTTGCTTCACATAATATCATGATGAATAGGACTCCAAGTCCTCAGGGAGAGAGGAATAAGGAAAGAGGTAAGGAATTAATTCCTTTGACAACTGTGATAAAGGTGATACTGATAATAAAATATGTTCTATTTGGAAAGACTCAACATTCCAAGTTATATCACAAGAAGAGAGAGATAAACGTAACGCACGTGCTGAACGGTTTGGAATACAATTAGATCCTTCACAGGCAATTTTTTGCAGTTCATCTTGATGGCGATAAACTTTTCTAAAATTCTGACACTGCTTAACATTATGAAGCGACGAAAAATGTTTCATGAACATAAAAAAACTGTCGAGATTAAAGAGCCACCTCCGGACCCTGTTGATGACTTTTTCAAAGTTGTTGATGATTATATTAAAACACAGACATTAATTAAAAGGGCTAAAGAAACTCGGAAAACAAATAGACTAGTTGCATGGGATTTCTTTCATGAGGAAATGCGCCCCATTAATCTTGAATCATTGTATCAAATCGATAAAAGAGGCCAACGTCTGGATCAAATTAACGAGGAAGAGGAATATATCGAAGAAGATAGAACGCAAAAGGATAGGTCAAAAGTAGATGAGATACCGTCTACACCAAGGTTTTTGGACGTAGAGATGGAAGATGTTCATCAATTTTTAACATCACCGCTTCCATCATCACCCGGGTTCCGCATTTTCGAATCAATGGACGTCGACGAAACTTTTCCATCTTCACCATCATTTACACCACAAGTAAATTTTTCCACTATTCGTTGGTGCACGGTGCGTGTATTCCGTATTACCTAGCAGTTGTATTGATCGGTAGTCTCTCTTGCCCAAGGTTCAACACCCATTTGAAAACACGTACTCGTCTCTACAAATTAATCAACTTCAATCAGATAAAAATCGTAAACCATCGATTTTCATGAGATTGGGTAAAAGAGAATCACTCACTCCTGTTTCTACCGGCCCAGTCAATGATAAAATATTTGATGTAAAAGGCGATGTTAACCATGCAGGTAAACTTTTTTAGAATTCTAATTCATTTATTGTGAGAATCTTCCTTTATTTACACGATTCGGTTTTTAATTTTATCACTATTATTACTATTAACTTATTTATGACATAATTAACTTAAAAGTTGTTCAGAAAGACCTTCGTACCGGTTCAAGTATGGATATGGAATATAATCCTATTCTTGAAAACGACGATGACGGGTTATCAGAACTCGAGGAGTCAATAATTACGAAACAGGATCTTAAGGCCCCTGCGATTAGTCTTAAGGAGAAGGAAAGTGACTCACAGGATGAAAAGGAGGTGACCGAATCTCAAGCCAGTGATAATGATGACTCACTATCTCCAATGTAAATAAAAATTTAGCTGCGGATTTCACGAATAATAAAGGTTACTAAAATTATTTCATCACTATTATCTTATGCTAGAATTCCGACTCCTAAATTGGATCTTTATAATTGGGTATTTGGTCCACCGCCTTTGACTCGTGCACAATCAGGATACCAAGAAAAAATCCGGGAAAGAAAGAATAAATATAAGAAACCTCGATTTCCTGATCGTAGAAAGAACGAGAAGGATAGAAAGAAACGAGAATACCACGCCAGGATTTCAGAAAATAGAAATATAAGAGAATTTCTTGATGATATTGATCGCAGAAAAGCTTTATGCATCCGAGAACTTAATTCGGAAGAAAAAACAAAAGAAGAGGACATTATG